AGGGATACATTGTGATGCTGCCTTTGGGTTATTGGGCATATTTTGGCAAACAAGTGTGTTAATACAGTAAATGACCAAGACAATATTTGGATACAAGAACAGTCATTTCCTTCAACAGCAGAAAGGCATTCTAGAACACACTGTTGCAATCTGCAGAGGGAGGGGAAAGCTTCTACAGATGGTCCTTGACTTGCAACTCTTCCTTTAGTGAGTGTTCAAACTTAAAATGGCACTGAAAAAAGGGACTTATTAACTTATGTCCCCATGGTCACATGATCAAAATTCAGATGCTTGGCAACCGACTCATATTTCTGACCATTTCAGGGCCCTGGGGTCATGTGATCACTTTTTGCAACCTTCTGGCAAGCAAAGTCAATGGTGAAGCCAGATTCACTTAAGAACCGTGTTACTAACTCAAACAACTGCAGTGATTCACTTAACTGTGGCAAGAAAGGCTGTAAATTGGGCAAAGGCCACTTAAATGTTTCACTTAGCAAAAGAAATGTTGGGCTCAGTTGTGGCTATATGTCAAGGACTACCTGTACACGGGAAGAAAGAAGCTAATCAGTCAGAATAGAGTTGGATGAGCTAGAAGATTCAAATTGCAGATGAATTTGTCACACGCTGAAAACGAACGGTGAAAGGCAGCTTTGCTTGGAACAGCTTGCAGCCTGCTGATACTTGTAACATCATCAAGCATCTGCCTATCCCAGTCCTTGAGAAGGACTCAGTAGGTAAATAAAAATACCAGTGTAAGTATTGGGCTGACTGGCCAACCATAATAATAATATGGCATGACTGTACACTGCTGTAATCAAAACACATTTCTGCTACTTCTGTAGGGATGTTATGCAGAATCATCTTCTTCAGATGCTCTGTCTGGTAGCAATGGAGAAACCAACTTCTACAAACTCTGATGATGTCCGTGATGAGAAGGTAGGATCCTGGTTCTTCCCACTCGGTGCCTTTGGGCAAAGCTGCATTTTGCTGCTCATGCTATTGAGCTGTCTTAGATTTCCATCTGCTGACAATGTTTTCCTTTTTCCTCAGTTTAGGCCCAAAGCTGTCTAGGTTTAATTTTTCTAGATTCTATTCATTACAAAACTGAACTAAGTATAAAGCAATGTGTTTACTTCAAGGATCACCTTTATTTTTAAGGATCCCACATCGATATTAGATATTAGATTTAAACAAACAAACAAGGATGGCTGCACCATGGTCTCTTGCATAGGTGCCCATCTGGCCAGGTAAAAAGATAAGGGTTTATCCAGGCCTGTATGGAATATCTCCACAGGAGGGAGCTATAGGAGATGGCAAGGAGCGACTGGTTCGCCTTAAAGTAATTTGAATACTTTATGTCTACCCATGTATGCCATAACAGGCCATTTTGTCAGAATACCTTCAACATGTTCTCAAAGTTTAGACATTGTTTAGTGGCCCAAAGGAGGGGAATCCTGATCTATCTCTAAAATAGGAATGAATTACTAAGCATCTTAGACTAGACCTTCCTATAAAGCATTTCCATCTCTTCTTTAAAAAAGAAAAAGTGTCTCATAATGACCTGAAAACCTGTGCTGACCAAACCAGAGCAGTTCTTTCTATTAAATTCTCTCCTGTCAAGGTAAGTGTTTAGAATTTTGTCATTTTCAATTGGAGACTTTTTCTGAATGTATAAGATGCACGGAAGTGTACCTCTGTGCCAATTGGAAAGCCTGCATGGTGGTCACATGTAATTTCTCCTGCTAAGTTGACTATTTGTATTGTCTTGAAATGGACATAGTCGCCTCAGTTCACTTCGGCTGATGGTTGATCTTGATGCTCCCTGTGTGTTTTTCCCTTAGGTGAAGGTTCTGAAGTGCATCAAAGAGGTGAAAAGTGAAAATGTAGTCCTTGGGCAATATGTGGGCAATCCATCTGGACAAGGAGAGGCTCAGAAGGGCTATCTTGATGATTCCACAGTTCCAGCTGGCTCTACCACCCCTACCTTTGCTGCTACTGTGGTGTATGTGGACAATGAACGGTGGGATGGTGAGTATGACCATGCAGCAAAGGATCAGCCAAAGAAAAACATGCATTGAACTGGGGAAAAATAGTGTGCAGTGGGCAAGTGTACCTCATTGCCTATTTAATACTCTCCTCGTAGGAGTACCGTTTATCTTGCGCTGTGGCAAGGCACTGAATGAGCGCAAGGCAGAGGTACGGCTGCAGTTCCGGGAGGTGCCAGGTGACATTTTCCACCAGCAGTGCAAGCGCAATGAATTGGTGATCCGTGTGCAGCCTAACGAGGCTGTTTACACCAAGATGATGACCAAGAAACCAGGCATGTTCTTCAACCCAGAAGAATCTGAGCTGGACCTCACTTATGGCAACCGCTACAAGGTACATTATTTTATCTGCCACTGAAAATATAAACAACAAAATTTTTACATGTATAAGGAAGGGTTCAAGGTGTCTGCTATATACAGTGTGTTAGCTGAATGTCCATGGTTGTGCCTATATAAAAAGCTAAACGTGGCCAAATAAAGAATTTAACTACAGTACCCAATTTATATATACACCATGCTAAGCTTCATTAGCTGGTTTGAAGGGTGGAATTGGCAGATTAGTGCATTTTATGAGCCTAGCCTGTTTTGATTAATTAACACTTCTGTGTAATGTTTGAACCCAGAAAATAGGGTATTCAGTAACCAGGACAGATGTGTAGTATGAACATGGCTAGTAAATGGCTGCATACCAAGTATGAATACCAGGGTAACAATATGTAGGGAGATAAGGATTTAGTACAGGTAGTCCTCAACTTACAACAGTTCATTTAGTGACCGTTCAAAGTTACAAGTTACAATGGCACTGAAAAAAGTGACATGACCATTTTTCATACTTAACAACCATTGTAGCATGGTCATGTGATCAAAATTCAGATGCTTGGCAACTGACTCATATTTGTGGCAGATGCAGTGTTCCTGGGTCATGTGATCACCTTTTTGCAACTTTCTGACACAGAGTCAATGGGGAAGCCAGATTCACTTAATAACCATGTTGCTAACTTAACAACTGCAGTGATTCACTTAACAAATGTGGCAAGAAAGGCTGTAAAATAGGGCAGAAGTCACTTAACAAATGTCTTGCTTAGCAACATAAATTTTGGGCTCAATTGTGGTCGTAAGTCAAGGACTACCTGTATAGCCCCAAAATCCAATAAGTCTATAGTAGATTTCCCCATCTTTTAGAAAGCTAAATTACTGCTGGCATATTTTCAGATACACCTCCATCCCACACATGTAGGAATTTAGAGCATCTTTAGAAACATGTGGATATCTTTGTTTTAAAGCAGTCAGATTGGATTCAAAAATACAGTTGCTTTGATTTTGAACAGGCAGGATGTGAACACCTTCAGCAGGATTTCTAAAGTATGCCATATGGTTTAGTCTAATACAGAAAATCCTCGATTTACAATTCGAATTGAGCCCTGAATTACTATCCTAAGTCACGCTGGTTATTAAATCTTGTGGCCATTAATTCAATCTTTTGTCCACAATGGGTATTTTTTGTCAGACAGAGGAAGTAAATGCTGATTTCCAGCAAAACCCATAGTAAATTGTGGTCATGTGATATGGGACACTGCAAGCTAATTGCCAAACATCCAAAACTGACTGGGGTGTGTGTGTGTGTGTGTGTGTGTGTGTGTGTGAGAGAGAGAGAGAGAGAGAGAGAGAGAGAGAGAGAGAGAGAGAGAGAGAGAGATCAGAATCTCTAATCTGGATTGTAAATAGTCCTGGGGAACTCTGTCATAACTTCAACTGTTGCTAAGCAACCGACCATGAGAACTGCCTGTATGTGAATCCTGGCATATTGCAGTGACTCTTTCAGACATGGGAATCATCACCTGACACTAACATTATATTTTAGGTCTCTTATCACTGCACTTTCATAATCAAGGTGTCCTATCTGCTTCTGAATGCTTCCTTTCTAGAGCTAATTGTTAGGAATAGACCATTTTCTAGCCTGCAGTGCTTAACATCTTATTTCTGTCCTTTTCCACAGGATGTGAAACTCCCAGATGCTTATGAGCGCCTTATCTTGGATGTTTTCTGTGGCAACCAGATGCACTTTGTGCGCAGGTGAGTGGGGGAGGTCATCAGGACACATTTAGGAGAAAAACTAAAATTTCCAAACTCCTGATAGCAGTTGGCCCTGGTGCTTTCTCCCATGGGTTATGCATATCTGTGATGTGCATAGGGCATTATGGCATAGTTCCTTTTAGTTTGAAATCCTTGAACTAGTGTTACAGATTGAAGACTCAAAACTCGGTACATAATGAAGGTCATATCTATTCCTCTCTGGCCTGGTAACAACTCTTCACTAGTGTTTCTTGGGATTTTTGCTACTTTCTTGCTACTTTCTCCCTCAGTGATGAGCTACGAGAGGCCTGGCGTATATTCACTCCGCTGCTCCACCAAATTGAGGCAGAGAAGACAAAACCGATTCCCTATTGCTATGGCAGGTGAGGTTAGAAATGATCGCAAGGCATGCTTTAAATAAAATAAGTGGGCAATTAGGAGGGCAGCAATGCTTCCTTTGAAAAGTAGACTACAGAAATGATAGACTAATCCAGTGTTTCCCAAACTTGACAATTTTAAGGCATGAGGACATGCCTTAAAATTGTCAAGTTTGGGAAACACTGTTGTAAACAGTCATTTGTTGAAATTCACGAGTACAAGTAGGGCTTGCTCATAGCCATGTTTCTAGCAGTATTAATAGGGGGGCTTTAATCTTCTAGCCGTGGCCCTACCGAGGCTGATGAATTGATGAAGAGAGTTGGGTTTCAATACGAAGGCACCTACCGGTGGGTCAATCCTCACAAACTCTGAATCCTGTCAGCTTCTGCCTCTTGGAATGGCACCCGCATCTCGTCTTCACATCTCTCCAGAGAAACTGAGCCGGCCAGGCTCGACAGTGGCCTGCATCCTACCCAAAGATTGTAACGTGTCCATCTTGTCTGAGGGAGCAACTCGTTGGGCTTAAGCATTGGTGCACTTCTCCAGCTGCAGTGGGATCTTCTTCTGCTGACCTCTCGGTGGCCCTCGTGTCTATTTCTCAGTTCCCTCTGAAGGGCTGCCGTCAGATAAATTTACTATCCCATTCCAGTTTCTGCTGCTATGCTGGGAAAGCTTCTGAAGGCATGAGAAAGCTGCAGAGGTTTTTTGTGTTTTTTTTTAACTCTTACACTCCATACTCCTTCCTCATCTGCGTATGCTGCTCTATCAACTGCTTTTACTTGGAACTACTTCTTACATTCCTGTGCAGTCTCCTTGGATTTTGTACATGATGCTGTTCTGTAAATGGAAGTTATTACAAAAAAAAACAAACCCATTCTGTGTCTCTTGGATATGTGTGTTTGAAGCGTCTTAAGTCTACTTGTAACCATGCACTCAGCTTAATCTTCACCTGTTTGGGCAACTGAATTTTAGTACTGCACAATTGCAGCTGGTCTGAAGGCTGTAAAACACAGGAGCAGGGGACCTTGGGCCTGTCTAGCCAAGCTAGCATCCATGCCTCTGCTTCTCCCCATGACACTATGAAGGGTCCAACCCTGAGGTACAAATATTCTCCTTCAGAGGAAACCATCTCTGATAACTGGAGCTGAACTTCCTCTCAGGCTCGGCTTCTATCCTTGAACCTCTTAGATTCAATTCCTAATTAATTCATATATTAGGAAGCGAGACTCTTAAGGCTGTGTCTGAAGTTCTCAGCAGGAGCTTTGCCTTTCATCAGGTTCTCTTTCGTCTGGCAGAAAACGCCTAGGATATGCTGGGTGGCTGTTCAATTCCACGAGCAAAGAGATGGATGAGACTCCCATGTACTCTAAGAGGAGAGAAGAGCAGAACAGGCAGTTGTAGAATAATGACTGCAGCCTAATTTAAAAACTAAAGCTGCTCCCTCTTGCACCTGTAAGAATTGTGGCTACTTTCCAGTTGATATTTTCTCTTAAGCCAGAGCTGTAGAACTGTTTTCAGACCAAGCATCGCATTTGGCTTTTTTAGTGGTATGCATACTAAGGAGTCGATAGGGCCACAGCAACTCTGTTTCTCTGTGCATTTAATAACGTCCTCCTTCTGTTACCTTAAGCATTGCAATCCAGTGGGCAAATCTGAGCCAGCATGCAAGATTTGCACCTTTTGGGGAAGTCTCCCCTCCTCTTGGGAGATTGCTAGACAGACCAAGTCTTCAGAGTGCTCAGCCTTGTTACTGCTACCGTGTTTCCCCGAAAATAAGACCTAGGCTGATTTTTTGGGCTGTGCCTAATACAAGCTCTACCCCAAAAATAAGCCCAGGGGAGTGGGCATGGCCAGCACAAGTGATGGTGAGCGTGTGGGGGCCGAGGGTGTTGGAGCAGCGCAGGTAAATCCAGGGGGGAGGCAGGCAATCTGGATGCACCGCACACTTTTTGCCCAGAGGGAGATGGAAGCTTCATCTGCTTGCAAACGGGGCACTTGGAAACGGATTTGCTCCATTTCCAACCACCCTATTTGCAAGTAACAAAGATTCCAGTCTCCCTCTGGGTGAAAAGTGTTTTGGCGCCTATGTGGCACTTGGGGCAGCTCCACCCCCTTCCCCGCAGGCTATGCAGCCGACTGCAAGCAGCCACAAGTGGGACAGCGTCCACACGGGCTCCTGCTAGATGGGGTTGTTGATGCTGCCACCATAAGGCGAGGCAGCTGTTGGGAGAGGAGAAATAAGACATCCTCCAGAAATAAGACCTACTGCCTCTTTTGGAGGAAAAAAAAATATAAGACCAGGTCTTATTTTCGGAGAAACACAGTATTACTCATTTCTGCCCAGCTCCCTTCAATCTCATTCTGATTTACCAGTTATTGCTGTGATCTTTTTAGGATTTCACTGAAGGAGTCCCAAATTTCATACAAGTTTTTTCCATTAGTCCAAGTTGGCCAACTGCCCTGTGCCTTTGTGATTCACTCCAGGAATCTTTGACCCACTCTATCAGAGGACCTACCGAATGGCAATATCAGTGTGGTTCAAGGTCTCGCCATCGCAGGTCCAGCAGCTGACCGGCGGCTGTCCTTGGCATATTCCCCCACAGAGCATGTTCTGTTCTTGTGCAGCTTGTTGTCTTCCCTCCCAGTCTTCCCCTTTGGAGGAGGTGAAGCGAATAGCTCGAACCCGGTATACACTCACAAAGGGCAAGTCAAACTGTGGAACACAATTACATCTCCTGAACAAAAGCAGCCTCCCTTGTTGCTAGAGTTTGGAAGGAGCCATTACAAATATCAATGAACATTGTGGGTTTTCGTTATCCCAAGTGTGCATGTTGGGGCTCAGTTTTTTCAGAGTTGATTGTTCTTCCCCATCCAGACTGAGACCTCCACATCACTTAATTGGCCCAATATCTAGGTATGTAGCTGGATATAATATTCTGGTCTTGAACCAACAGAAGATTTTCTCCAGTAGCTTCATGTAGATCTCAAATGAGAAGGATGAGCGCATTGAACCAGTGACACCCCACATGTAAAGGGTCTTTAGGTTCAATCTCTCCCCCCATCAACCCTGACGGGAACTGGCCCTGAAAAAAGGAGAACTACCGGAAAGCCGTGTCTCCCACTTCTAATGCTCATGGTCAAGAAAGATACCACGACCAGTAGAACTGATGCCTGCTTAGAACTCAGGGAGAATCAGAATGATTGCATTGCTACTTTGCCAGGTGGACTGGGATGCTCACACCTGTCTGTCCACCCACCCCTGCCAAATCCCTCCTCAGTTCCCCTCTCCTTCAGGATATGTAGTGATTGGCAATTCTACCCTCCAATCAGCACAGGGCTAGAATAAATGCACTAATTTTATCAGGTGTTCCTTTGCATGCGCTTGTGCAGAATCATAACCATCAAGACTTAATATTCTGACTTTCCTCCCAAGTCTATAGGATAGCACTAGTCTTCCCCCCACACACACATACCATACCTGGTCGGAGCAATTGGTGTGCCGATTCAAATGCTGCAGGAAGGAGAAGACGGAGCATTTGTGCACCAGGATAAGGTCGGCAGTTCCATCGGCCAGGTGAGCGCAAGGTGAGAGACCCTTGGGGCTCTTCGGACAGGCACTACTCATGCAGGTTAGGTTGACTGCCATGAAGCTACCATGAACCCGCTGCCATTCACCACCTAGAGGGGAGAAAAGGGTTTATCTTGAGAATCTTCATCCAGGAAGCTCCCTTAGCTAGTCAGGAATCCAGGTAAGAATGGTTATTACAAAGAGATAACAACTCTTCGTTGCTACTTTTTATCTATTACAAGGCTTTTTCCAGGGACACATCCACACAACCTCCTCATTTTTCTGAAATTATGCTACCTACGCCCCGCAGTTCCAGTCTGAGATTGCCAAAAGCACAGGCAGAAGATATGTCCAGTATTTTATTTCTGCAGAAAATTAGGGTTCTTAGGCTGCTCCCTCTTCTACTCCACCTTTAAGAAAGAAAGGCAAGCAGCTCGGACCGGTTGTGTTTGTATTTGCTGCTATTTGCAAAATAGAGGCATTGAAAATAGAAATCACCTGCCAGGCATGTTCTCTTTAGTTTCCTTTTCCAGGAGAGATCTTGAGGAAGGCAAGAAGTCACTGAAGCACAAGACAGACTGCATGGCAAGTAGTTAAGAAACAGCAAAGGCTTTTCTTTCCTTTCCTTTCCTAATGCACTAACAGGATTTCTCTTCATCACTTCAAGCCCTCCTCCGAATCCGTTAGCTGTGTAAGCATTACAATGTTATAAAACCGGCTGCTATCATCTATTACTAGCATTAGTATTGTTCCTTTTTATATATGAGAATCCTAAATTTAGGAGACTGGAGCTTGCTTAAGATCACCCAGCAAGCTGACAGTAAGATGAAATTAGAAGGATTTTTTATTATCGTCTCTTTTTATTCCCAGGGTAACCTTTCTACTGTGCAGAGGTGGATAGTAAAGGCCATCCTTCTTTAAATCCCTCTTTTTTCAACTACACAGGGCATGACAATAATGCAATATTGTATTGCTAAAGGAGGAAGTGGCAGATTTCCCCTCCCTTTTTTATTTTTTTAAATGAAGTATGGTTAGTCTATGTCAGTAATGGCGAACCTTTTAGAGACCAAGTGCCCAAACTGCAATCCAAAACTCACTTATTTATCGCTGGGTGCCAGGTGGGCGTGGCCCATTGGGTGGACGTGGCTGTGGTGGTCATGGCAGGGTGGGTGTGGCCAAGGTGGGCGTGGTCATGATGTTGCTCGTGGGGAGGGGCGCCTGTGGGGGTCAGGCAGGGCTGGGGGAGATCCAGGTGAGGCAGGGACCAGGGCGGCTGCACAAAGCGGCCAGCAAATGCATGGGTGCTGGGATGCATCCGGCCACATGGGACCTTGGCGAGTTAGCGGGTGGCTGGTTGATGAAGGACGGTTGCCATCTCCAGGGCATGGTGTGTGTACCCACAGAGAGGGCTCTGTGCTGCCTCTGGCACACGTGCCATAGGTTCGCCACCACTGGTCTATGTTATTTCTTCTTTGCACACCTATTTTATTACTTTTTTTAAAAAAACCCATCTCACTGTAATTTGGCAATCTGCAATACATTTTGGCAACTTAACCTGGGGGTGGGGAGGAAAGCATTCAGGCAGCAGAGCATCCAAATGCCCTCTGAGTCAGGATTCTGTACTTTTATTTAATAATCACAGGGTTCATAGATGCCATCTCCATCTCAACTACATGGAACTTGCCCATCATGAATGTCAACCAGCTTCAGACAAGGGAGACTAGTTCCTAAATCCTAAATCAAATTTGACCAATCTAACACGACACGAGCTGGAAATATAATCAGACCTTTGATTGTGCATAGCTTGCTTTTAAAAAAAAATGCTAGTAAAAGCAGATTCTGTGACAAGTAATAGCTGGATTATATATAGATTTTGCATCTCTCATACATCAATCAACTTGGCTTGTCAGATTTGAGGCCTCATTGCCCGTGCACCACAGAGAACTGGTGCAGCCAAGTGGACTAAGATTAGATTTGAATACTATAAAAGTTTGGCCTGTGATCCAGGGTGAGATGCACACTCTTGGCCCCAGGCTAGCCCACTATGAAGGGGGTGAGGGTGATGAGCCAAAAATGCTCACTTATGGCAGTATTTCTCAACCTCAGCAACTTTAAGTTAATGGACTTCAACTCTTAGCATGCTGGCTGGAGAATTCTGGGAGTTGAAGTCTGATCTTAAAAATTGCTATGAATGACAAACACTCATGAATGAAGGCAAATGTACCTGTCCCAGGATAATGTTGCAGGATCTAATCTGGGACCAGTCATTGGGACCAGAGGCTTAATCTTCTGAGCTTTCAGCCTCATGCTGGACATCATCCTCAGGGAACTTCTCTCTTGAGAATGGGCTCTAACACAAATTCAAAAGCTCAGAAGATTAAACCTCTGTTCCAGTAACTGACACAGGTTGGTCCTGCGTGACAAACACTGCCTTAAAGGCTTCTTATCAGAAGGATTACAGCAAATTGATTTTCAGTTAATTAATTTTCAAGATTAATTTACAGCAAGATTAATTTTCAGTGTCAATCCTTTGCTATTAAAAAAAGATTTTACCTGCCTGCTTTGTGTATTCCAAAGAACGTTCTTCCTCGCTTCCATTCAGAAGGTTTTTGCTAGACTCAGAACAGACCATGCAGCTGAAAAGGAGAGCTAGTGTTATAATCTGATCGTGTATTCTTCCCCACTTAGTCCTCTTAATGCATTGCAGCCAGCTGGTTTTCATGATTCGTAGCCAGCTGGGAATCATGGGGTCTGTAGTCCAAAATATTATTGGAATTGGAGAAAGCTGCTCCACCCCTTTCTGCAGCTGTGCTCCTGGACTTTGCCCATGGTTGTAAACCCCATTGTGGCAGTTTCCCATCACAACATACCCTGACCGGCAGCGTGATTGATCCCGTGGACTGGTGTCCTCTGACGCTGCTAACTGGAATTCCACAGTGCCTTCATAGCTGTGGTTGCTTAGCACTGCTTTGACTCCTGAAAGAGGAAATAAATGAAGGGAGGGTTTGGGCTGGGTGTGTTCGCACATTTACACAAGCACACACCACCACCCCTCTTAGGTTCTTTTGTTTAATTCTGGAGCATCATGGCCATGTTTTAAGTCAGCAGCTGTTGAATGGTGAAGGATACAGAAAAGAAGATAATTTGTAGTATCATGTGACAACGGTTTTGGAAGAATTGGGCAACTGACACAGAAATCATAGCTGTTGTTGCAATAAACAGCTTTTGTGCCTTTTCAAAAAGACTGAGATGGGGGGAACTAAACTTGTATCATATTCGACAGATATGGAGTAAATAAATAAAAATAAGTGATCATGTTTTTTCCTGAAACACCACTGCTCAAATAGCATCGCGTCTATTTCAAAAATATTTCAGTCATTCCTGAGAATTGGAATTTAAAACTGTCTGGGCACAGAGGAGTACTCTCTTAGTAGGCCCCTTGAGCCTGTATTTCTTTCAAGCCCATCAAGAAGAATTTCATTTTATGGGTCTGCATTTTCCTTCCCCTCTCCCAGCTCCCTTTATCTGGCTGGTTTCTTCTTCTGCTGAATGATACCTGCAAAGGTGTAGCGCGCTGGCCCCAACCAACGGTGCTTCTCACTGGTGCTCACTACATCGCCATAGAAACCGTAACCAGCTAGGGAGACGGAGTAGCGTAAAAGCATCCCATCATGCCAAATGCTGCAGACATCCAGAGGCTGGCTGTCCCCTGGGAAGGAAAGAAAGGCCCATGGGAAAGACACTGGAAGGAAAACACCCACCCGAGTTCTTTTTATTGCAAGGGTATGACCAGTGATGAGACCATTTTCATGCTTACTCTACAGATGATTTACTTCCAAATCTGGCTTTCCAAAATTCCCTACTCAGGGCAGTTTTAAGGACTATACTCTCAACAACCACAGATGGTTAGTGTGTGCTAGTTATGCACCTATAGCAGTGGTGACGAACCTATGGCACACGTGCCAGAGGCGGCACTCAGAGCCGTCTCTGGGCACATGTGCCGTTGCCCCAGCCTCACCTCCCCCCACGATTCCCTCCTCACCAGCAGCCCCCCTGGAGGAGAGTCGCCCCCAAGTGTGGCCCACACGAAGCAGCGCAGCCAAGGACATGGCAGCCAGGCAGCATAGACAAGACTCTGCCCTCACACCCCATCCCGCAGTTGATGCTGCGGGGTGCAGGCAGAGGGCGTGACCGCCATGGCACTGTTGGGCTGCCTGGGTGATCTGTGGCGGGCCCTGGAGGCAGTGAATGGCCCTACGGGCAGGCAGGGTGGGGGCGGGGCAGGGGCAGGGCAGGGGTGGAGTGGGGGCGGAGCACTCGGTCTCTAAAAGGTTCGCCATCACTGACCTATAACGATGTGCAGAGCAGAAGTGATAGGGTCATTTGTTCCCACGGTTGCAAAGCAGACACAATCTGTAGAACCTGGAGTAGAAACAGAAGGCATCCTATCACCCAACTGCTGGAAAATAGCTCAGAAGTCTACCTGTTTCCCCCCAGAATCTTGGATTAAAGTTTTAGTCGTTATTTCCCAGCTCTTAAAGAAGCCTCAAGTCTTACTCTGGGGGAGCTATTGGCCTTACCTGCAGGAATGATGCCAATACGAAGTCTTGGGGACAGAAGCTCTGCATCAAAGTCCTCTTTGAGCTCCCCTGCCTTTTGCTGGGTTCGGTCGATTAAGGCGTGCATTACTTCATTGAATGTGCCATCGCCTCCCACACTCACCAGCCTGGAATGGGACACAGGTAATAAGCCAAGTTGCAGATAATCCTCAACTTTCTATTGTAACTGAGCCTGGTAATTAGGCTTGTAAGTCATGATGGCTGTAAAGCAGTCCACTACATGATTGGACCCAATTTTACAACCTTTTATTGTGGCAGTTGTTAAGCAAGCACCATAGTTGTTAAGTGAACCAACTGTTCACGATGGGCTGGTTTTTGCCAGAAATAAACATTGGTTTCTGGCAAAAATGTAAATCACGGTCAGGTGATCGTGGGATATTGCAAATGGCTATAATTCTGGGCAGTTGCCATGAGTCCAAAATGTGGTCATGTGACTGTGAGGGGAGGGGAAGCAGCATCAGAACTTCAAAACTGTCTGCAAATAGCTTTCCAGGTGTCCATCGTAACTTTGAACGCTTGCTAAGCAACCGATCATAATTTGAGGGCTATCTGTAGTCAGGATCCAAAGCAACTGCCTTTATTGGCCCCTTCTAAGCAAATGATGGGAATTCTCCCATTTCTCCCCACTTCCATGAGGGGCAAGGACACTGCAGTGCCTGTTTACATAAATGTTGAGTGGCATGGAGCAAAAATGTCCTCTGGAGTTGCTCATGACCCCTTAATGCTGTGAGTAGAATTAAGTGGCAGAAGCTCTGATGGGGAGCAACATTCAGCCACGACAGCTCTCAGACATTTTATTTTTCTACCATGTATTCTTCTTCTTTACTTCCTCTTACACTGTTTTATCTCCTTCCAGCAATACAATCCAAGGAAGTTCATGGACACTAATTAGACCCCAAATGCTCAAAGTCAGATTCATATCAGAAGGAATCTTAAATCCCACACATCATAATTGGAACTGGAGCTGGTAATATTTGCGGGGAGGGGGGAGATTCTGTTCATGCAAAATGCATACTGCATACTTTTTTCCCTGTATTTTAGTAACTATGTTTTTTTTTTTAAATTTCAAAATTCTTTTGATTGAGTTTAGCTGCAATATTTAACTGTTATATTTCGCCCTCGGTCTTTCCAAGACACAGTGGCTTTGGGTTTTTCTCTCTCTCTCACACACACACGCACACACGGGGTCTGGTGATGTGTCATCTCTGATTCTGGTTGGGGTTGCACTTCCTGGACTGATCTAGTCTGCAGTCTGGGAGTCCTTCTTGAATCAAGCCTGCTATTCGATTAGCTGGCAGCCATGGGTAGGGAGGGGGCTTGAGCACCAACTGAGCTCTTTCCCAGAGCAGGAGGCTTTGCATGTGGTCACTCACACTGTTTGATTACTGCAATGCACTTGGCTTCCCTTGAAAACCACTTAGAAAGTGGTCCAGGACACAGCAGCGTTCACAGTGCCACATATTTATAGATTCACATATTATACCTTGGTTGCATGAGCTGCACTGGCTCCCAGTTTCCTGCTGGCTGCAATTCAAGGTGATGGCTACCAACTTCCTGCATGCCACTGGACTACTGTAGGTTATTTGTGGGACTGACTCTCCCTGAGAGTATCTGCCTCTCCTACCAGATCAGAGAGGATAGACATCCTCTGGGTCCCTTCCCTGAAAAGCTGCCTTCTACCAGGACCTGAGAAGCATGACTTTACCATAGCTGCTCCTACCTTATGGAATACCCTTCCCACCCCTAGTTACTTAGCAGGCCTCCACCATTTTAGCTTTCCAAAAGGCCATTAGGACCTAGCTTTTTTACCCAGGCACTGGGGTAGACTGAGTGTATCTTGGGTGGATTGTTGGGGCCACAATAAAGACCTTTTAGTTTTGTTTTTACAGTTTTATTATTTTTAAAATATACTTCTGGGGTTTTATTGCTGTTGCCTGCAAAGTGTTTTAAGATGGGAGACAATACAAATATTCTAAATAAACTAAAAATGCAAATACATGCATATACATATATTAAAAACCTTTTTGTAACATCTTTCAGAATTTTTTAAAAAAATTTAATTTGCAAAGAAGGCCAGAAATATTCGTGTTTTTAAATTGATTCAGAAACCAGATTTAAATCAAATGTCTAATGTTCATAATATCTAAACATTTTTCTAACTATAGTATTTTTTAAGAATCCATTTTTAGCCTACTTATGGTACAATCAAGTATCTAATCTGGCTTTATAATGTCTATGGAGATTCTCCGTCATCCAGGTCATGGTTGTCTCAAAGGTGTTTTTCCCAAAGGCAACTGGACAGTTTTTTTCCTTGAGGAAGACATTTCGTTTCTCATCCAAGAAGCTTCTTCAGTTCTGACTTCAGTTTTATAATCTAGTTGTGAATGTGAGAGATAGTGCCTTTGAATGGGAAGGGGATGTGAGGGACTACAGTGAAACAGCAATTTCCCAGGAAGGATAGAGCACATTTCAAGGTGTGGGGTGAGACAAGAAGCAGCACAACCTGGAGCTGGATAGGAGGCAGAGGAAGAGAGCTAGGATAGCCACTCCTCAGAATCTCCCAGGGGATATCCCCTTGGGTGAGAGAAGTAAGGGTTTAGTCTGGCAAGAGTCTGTTTATTGTGTATAAACAAATAAGGAACTGAACCTTGGCTGGATTGTTCTACCTCATTCTTGGGCTAAACCTGACAGTGAATGAATTAATGAATTACAGCATTTGGAATTAGCTAGAAGTTCTCTCCATGGTTTGACTGGCAGACAAACCTGGGGAAAAAAAAACAAATAGGTTGGTTTCTTCCTTTTTTTGCATTCAAATCATTGGAAAATGTATCTGCTTTACAGCCCTTGTTTTGTGGGACCCCTAATGTCTGTTTGGAGCAGATCATTTGGTTTTCAAAGAATAGTTTTGGCCAACTTTGTGCTCTCCAAATGTAATCCCATGCTGGAGGGTACAGCGTATTGCAGTCCCAGGAGAAATGGAGGGCAACAGGTTGGGGAAGATGCCATTGATTGAACTGAATGGTTAGCCCAGATTGAACTAAAGGCACAAATTTCCTCAGAAAGCAGGCAATACAGATGCAGGCAAACTAAGACAAAAAAACTTACCCATCGAAGCCACAGAGATCTTGCTGTAGGATGTAATCACGAGCCTCATTCGCATGGCAGGTCTCTGAGAAGATGGAAACAGGAAGAAAGCAGGAGACTGTTTATTACAGTGGTTCTCAACCTGTGGGTCGGGACCCCATTTGGGGTCGAACGACCATTTCAGAGGGGTCGCCAAACAACGCAGTCCGCCATTTTTTCCCCCTTTTCCTTAGCTGTGCTACTCCCTTTTATTCTATTGGCTTTTGAAAGCCAATAGAATAGACTCTCTTGAATAGAGTCTAATTCTATTGGCTTTCGAAAGCCAATAGGAATTGTCCAGACTGTCTCTGCCCTGCTGAGCCTGCCAAAAGTCCCATTCTGCAAATGGTGCTGCACCAGTTGAGTAGTCCTCGACTTGCGACCAGTTGAGTAGTCCTCGACTTACGACCAGTTGGGGGTCGCGGCATTAAAAAGGTTGAGAACCACTGGTTTATTAGGAGCCGTGGTGGTGCAGTGGTTAGAATGCAGTATTGCAGGCTAACTCTGCCCACAGCCAGGAGTTCGATCCCGACCACCTCTAGATTGACTCAACCTTCCATCCTTCCAAGGTTGGTATAATGAGGATCCAGATTGTTGGGGGCAATATGCTAATATTTGTAAACCGCTCAGAAAGTGCTGTAAAGCACTGTGAAATGGTATAGAAGTCTAAGTGCTATTGCTATTTTTAAGTGCTATTGCTATTATAAGACTCAGATAAAGGATAGAGCAACAGGAAAGTTGGAAGCCCCTGGAAATAAAAAGTCCACACTGGGAAGGAAAGAGGGAATGGTGGAGGAAGATAATGGGACTCACTCACAACTTGTGCATGGATCCCAGCCAGGGCAAACAGTGGAGCCACTTGACTCTGATAGATCTCCATTGCTCGCTTACGTCCCCCCACTGGATTGATGAAGACAAGGAGACTCTTGGGCCGTGTAACACCTGGAGCAGAAGGAAGGGAAAGGTAAATGACTGAAGGATGAGATCAAAGTTCCATTTAGTCCAGCATTTGGATTCTCTCCGTAGTCAATCAATACCTTAAGAGTGCATGAAGAAAGAGCTCTCTCTTTGTTCCCTTATAGCTTGTATTCACAAAAACTCTGCTGCAGAACAAGGAGGATTGCACTAACTGTCATTTTGTGTCAGAGTTGAAAGGTCAGAGCAAAAAGGCTCCTTCAAGTTGCTGAGTTTGCTCGGCAACATGTGGAAGTGACTTGCTATTGCTTTCTTTCAGAATCTAGTCTTCAGTCCTGGTATTTGTGGGAGCCTCCCATCCACCGACTAACCTGGCTCAACCTGACTTAGATTCCCAGCCTGAACAAGATCAGGCAGTTGCCTTCTTCAGGGTAAGACTTCATTTAACACCAACTCAATACTATATTTTCAGTGATGTTCAAAAGAAAAAAAAATACAGATGCCCTTTGAGCACACCCTGTATGAAGTACTTTTCCTTTGGAATTCTTTATTTGTGGTCTGGGAGAAAGTAAAGAGAAACCATTATTTGAAGATTCCAAATTGGCTCTCAACTATGGAGGCGCTAATACACCCCAATATGTTTAACATGGGAAACATTATAAGATATAAAGACTTATTAACAGATATGGGGGAGTTGAAAACCAAATGTAAGGACCCACCCCACTTTGCATCTTAAGAAGACAGAACTCTTGGAATAGTTCTTCCAACAGGAATCCTTTATTAAGAGAAAATGGTTGCAGGCATGCTAGACAGGACTTGGGGTCCAAGCTCTCCCATTCAAGGTTTTAAGGGGTTCCCCAGTAGTCCCACCCAATCAACCCCCCTTCCCAGTGATAGTTTCAAGTATCACAATTCCACCCCGTTTCTTCTTTCTTCCGTCTGGATGGAGACTTCAGATAACTACATGAAAGGCAAATACTCTTCTTTGTTAATGCTAATGTTCTCTGGTGTTAACGCTTTGAGGTTACAATAGGTTACAATAAACACACATTCAGCATTCAGCTCTTTGAAGTCTACTGAAGGAAGTGAGGGCCATAAAGCCCCTTTGTTCTCCCCCTTCTCTCCCTCTTATGGCAGAATCCAAAGAAGGCAGAATTGGGAGTTTCTATATTTGATAATTAAAGATGAAATATGATTGGATTCTGACATCCGGCCCCTCTTAAAAATAAGAGAGATCCACCTGAAAGAAAACACAAGTATAAAATTTAGTTAGGCTTGTTAGGATACTCTGTGTGAAACTTCTTCAATAGCTTTGGGGCTCTGACGTGACGTTTATGGACCCACTCATTTTGTGAGGCAGGGAGGTGTTTCCAGGCAACTAGGTACTGAGTTGTTCCATGATATCTCCTAGAGTCAAGGATCTCTTTTATTTCGAAGTGTTGTTCCCCCTCCACCATGATTGGAGGTGGTGGGGGGGGATTTTTGGCCGTAGAGGTGACTGATGCTCTCTTTTCAGCAGGCTGCAATGAAAAATTGGGTGTATTTGCCTGAGGTTTTTGGGTAATTCTAATTCTACTGTTACTGGATTTATGATCCTTTTAATTGGAAAAGGTCCTATATATTTTGGTCCAAGTTTTTTACAGGGCTGTAGGGACTTTAGGTATTTTGTAGATAAGTACACCATTTCTCCTATAATGAATGGTGTAGGCTCAACCCTTTTTTTATCGGCTTGTGCTTTGTATGCCCGCCTAGCTTCATCTAGTGATTTTCTGACTATTGGCCAGGTGTTTTGTAGGTTTTCCATCCATTCTTTCAGTGAAGGGATCGTTGGTTCTTTTGGGGTTAACTCTGGCATAGGGTTGAAACTTTGGCCGTTGGCTATTTGAAAAGGAGTGTAGCCTGTGCTGGAGTGGACTGCATTATTGTAGGCAACTTCTGCAAAAGGAAGTAAGTCCGTCCAATCACTCTGTTGGAAATTTAAAAAACATCTCAAATATTGCTCAAGTACCGACTGGCACCGTTCCGCTTGTCCATCTCCTTGAGGGTGGTGGCTAGATGTCAATCCCTGAGTGGTCCCTAAGAGGGATAAAAATTCCTTCCAAATGCAGACGTAAATTGCACTCCCCTATCAGAGATGATGCGTTGGGGTGCCCCGTGCAATCTGTAAATGTGCTGGATGAAAAGTTTTGCTAAGGCCTTTGCAGTGGGAATTTTTTGGCAAGGGATAAAGTGCACCTGTTTGGAAAATAGGTCCGTGACTGTCCAGATAACAGTATTCCCATTGCTTTCAGGCAATTCCACTATAAAATCCATGGCTATTTCCCTCCAGGGGGCTGAGGGACTTGCCACTGGTTGTAACAGCCCTGGCGATTTCCCTTGCAACCTCTTTGCTGATGCACAGGTTGGGCAGCTGGCAACATAACTTTCTATGTCCTTTTTTATTGATGGCCACCAAAATTGCCGTTTAATTAAGTGTAAAGTTTTTACAAATCCAAAATGCCCTGCTGATTTTGTGTCATGGCAAAGTTGCATGAAAGTTAGTCTTTGAGTTGTTGGTATATATAACTTTTCCCCTACCCAAGGCAATCCGTCTCTCATTGTGCACACATGTTTGTTTTTCTGGAACCAATCATCTGTTTCCAAACTTTTTCTGAATTCAATCCCAGTTTGGCTGTCCAGTTGTGGTTTTAATTTGGCTTGGGTTCTTGTGGTTACTGGTGCTGCCAGTTGTGACTTCTGCCATTATTGGTCTAGAGGTCTGTGGTTCGTGCGCTGTTATATTGGGGCATGCGAGATAGTGCATCTGCCAGAAGTTCTTTCTTCCTGGTAAATGTTTGAGCTTAAATTGGAATTGGTGAAAATGCTGGGACCAGCGGGCTTGTTTGGGATTGAGTTTCCTGGAAGTTTTCAGGGCTTCCAAATTTTTGTGATCAGTCCACACCTGGAAGGGGATTTTGTTGCCTTCCAGGAACTGTCGCCATGTGAGTAATGCCCAATGTATCCCATAAGCCTCCTTCTCCCATACGGGCCAGCGCTGTTCTGTTTCCGTGAGTTTCTTGGATGTATATGCACAGGGTTGCAATACTGCATCATCATTTTCTTGTAATAGCACAGCCCCCACTGCCACATCACTTGCATCTGCCTGTATTATGAAGGGCTTGTCCATGTCTGGGTGCCTTAGTACTGGTTCGGCAGAAAAAAGTCTCTTTAGTCTCTCAAACGCTGCTTGGCACTCCATTGTCCATGTTAGTGGCTGGCTAGGTTTTACTGAGGATGTTTCCCTTCGTTTTTAGTAAGTTAGTGAGGGGCAAGGCTATCTGTGCAAATGAGGGGATGAATTGGGCGGTAAAAATTTGCAAAGCCCAGGAAACTTTGTAGTTGCTTTCTTGTGCGGGGTGGTGCCCAATTTAGTACTGCTTTGACCTTCTCTGGGTCCATTTCAATGCCCTGTGGGGATATGCGATAGCCTAGGTAGTCTATCCTTTCCTGGTGGAATTCGCATTTTGAGAGTTTGGCATATAGGTGAGCGGCTCGCAGCTTCTTTAAAACCGCTCTGACAAGTTTGACGTGTTCTTCTTTTGTTTCGGTAAAGATAAGAATGTCGTCCAAGTAAACAAGGACCCCCTTAAACAGGTGCTCCCTTAGAACGTCATTGATTAATTGCATAAAGACTGCAGGGCCCCTTGTAATCCAAATGGCAAGACTTTGAATTGATAGCACCCCATGGGGCAGTTAAATGCAGTCTTCCATTCGTCCCCTTCCTTGATTCTCACGCGATAGTAAGCTTCCCTTAAGTCTAGTTTAGAAAAAATTTTCCCTTTCGATAGGTGTGACAGCATGTCTTTCATGAGGGGCAGCGGGTATAGGTTGCTTTCACTGATTGTGTTCAGGGCCCTATAATCCACGCATAAACATAAAGAGCCATCCTTCTTCTCTCTAAAAAGGACCGGGGCAGCCACTTTAGGCTTAGCTGGTTCAATGAAACCTCTCTCCAGGTTTTTTTTTATAAATCTTTCCATTTCCTCCTTCTCCTTTTGGCTCATGGAGTATAATCTGGGTTTCGGGAGTTTTGCCCCAGGCTTGAATTCAATGGTACAGTCTGTGGGTCGGTGGGGGGGAAGCTCATTCGCCCTCTCCTCACTGAAGACTTCAGCAAGGTCCCTATATTCCTCTGTTATTTCTGTTAATCTTTTTTCCTCTCCTATGGATGCTTTTTCTATTCTTGATTCTGGTAGCCTCTCTTGGGGTTTTAAGTCCATAGGGTCCCCCTTCGGGAATTTGATTTCTGTCGTCCTCCAATTTACCCAGGGGTTCCATTTTTTCAACCATTCCCTCCCTAGAATCATTGGGCATTCCATACCTGGGGTCACCACAAACGTTAAGTCCTCTTCATGGTTGCCCAGGGAGAGATGTATTGGCAAAGTGGCTAGTGTAGCTGGCACCCCCCCTGCTATGGATCCATCTAGCTGGCCAAATGAGATTGGTTGTTCCAGTCTCCTGGATGGGATGCCCAGATTCCCCACTAGTGTTGGGCTAATGAGGCAGCGGGTGCAGCCAGAGTCTATTAAGGCTTTCACCTTCACAGCTTCGGGCATGGGGGGGGATTAATATAGTCACTGTTTTGAAGATGGGTGTGATGCGTCCACTTACCAGGGGTTCGCCTTCCGAGCTGTCATCTGAGGCATCCACCATCCCTGTGGTGTAGGCTGGAATTCTTTCCCCTTGGTGAGCAGAGGTGGGGGTTTCTGCAATTTCCATCATTTTCATGGCTGTTTCTTTTGGCTTAGCTGAATACCCTCTGGGTTTGTTGATTGGGGAGCTGTCTGGGTTGTGCTGGGGGGCCTTTGAGCGGCATTCTACAGCTCGATGCCCTTCTCTTCCGCACTTGAAACACCCCATCTGCTTCTTGGCTGTATCCGATGATTTCACCGGTTGGTGTGTCAGCTCAGGCGGGGGGCGGCTCCATTGTTTTCCTCTGCGATGCCTCTTCAATATGTCGATCTCTGCTTCCTCTGCCAAGACGTACCATTCCTCAAGTCGATGTGGGTCTCCTCGGGGCAGGCAAGCATCATATAGATCATCGTTTAGTCCGTCTTTGAAACGGCCAAGGAGGATGTCTTCTGGCCAATTCAGTTTGCTGGCAATGGCTCGGAATTCTTGTGTATACTCAGCCACTGGGCGTTTGCCCTGGCTCATCGTTGTTATTCTTTCACGGGCTTTGCGATCAGCCAGGGGGTCTTCAAATCGTCTTCTCAACGAGGACATGAAACGGTTGAAGTTACTGAGTTCTGGGGCATTGGAGTCATGCATGTTCACCACCCAATCTGCAGCTGGTCCATCCAGGGCAGATTGCACGATCCGGATGCGGGCTTTGTCGCTGGGGATGTCCTGCCCATATTCCTCCATGTAGCTGAGGACGTGGGTTAGGAAAAACCCCAAGCGTGTTGGCTCCCCTTTGAATTTCACCTCCAACGGTGGACGTCTTGGAATGGATCGGTGCCTCCATTGTGGGTGGTATTGTCTTCCGTCCAGATTTCCATCTGTGGTCCGGTAGGGGGTGGGAGCTCCTGGATCAGTAAATGTCCCTGGGGTTGCAGGTTCCACGTCCCCCTCGGTGTCTCTCCCTTTGTGGCTCCAGGAACTGGGGCGGGCGTAGGGCTCAGGAATCTCCTCTCCTAGGGAGCTGAGAGTTCTCTTCATCAGGTCAATAGCTTTCTCTAGGATCCAGTCTGAGTACGGCATACAGCTTCCTCCCTCTTCACTTGCGTGCAGGGATTTCTCCATCTCCTGCTTCCATTCTGGTTGCTTGGTCCCCCGTCTCAGGGTCACTTTTCTTGATTCCTTTCCCCACTCGCTTTTCTTTCCAACGCCCATCGACCAGTGAGGCTTGTGGTCCTGTGTCTCCACCACTTCTTCTTCTGAGAAATCTGGCCTCTCGGATCCCAACATCTGGCAAGGTTCCAACTGGGTCAGCGGCTCTCTTTCCAGGGAGTTTTCTCCCTCTCTTGCTTCGTTGTCTGACATGGTAAATTTTTGCAAAATCCCCCGGCAAGGGTCTACCTTCCAGGTGGATTAATTTTGCAAGTCCTGTCTAATGTAAGGACCCACCCCACTTTGCATCTTAAGAAGACAGAACTCTTGGAATAGTTCTTCCAACAGGAATCCTTTATTAAGAGAAAATGGTTGCAGGCATGCTAGACAGGACTTGGGGTCCAAGCTCTCCCATTCAAGGTTTTAAGGGGTTCCCCAGTAGTCCCACCCAATCAACCCCCCTTCCCAGTGATAGTTTCAAGTATCACAATTCCACCCCGTTTCTTCTTTCTTCCGTCTGGATGGAGACTTCAGATAACTACATGAAAGGCAAATACTCTTCTTTGTTAATGCTAATGTTCTCTGGTGTTAACGCTTTGAGGTTACAATAGGTTACAATAAACACACATTCAGCATTCAGCTCTTTGAAGTCTACTGAAGGAAGTGAGGGCCATAAAGCCCCTTTGTTCTCCCCCTTCTCTCCCTCTTATGGCAGAATCCAAAGAAGGCAGAATTGGGAGTTTCTATATTTGATAATTAAAGATGAAATATGATTGGATTCTGACACCAAACAACAATTAGAGGAACAAGGAATAAAGATGGATTGGTACATGAGAACGCAAATACAATCTAGATATGAAAAAGATGTTAAAATAGATGGTGTTAATTTGGGGACAATAGAGTTAGATGAAATACAGGAACGGAAGAAAAATGGATTAAAAAATGTACAGTTATCTACTACATATGGAGTTACAGAAGGAACAAGTGAAAGAGACAATGATAAAATGGACAAGGAATTTTGGATACACAATTGAATTAGATAGATGGCAGCAACTATGGGAAAGAAACTATAAATTGACAATGGCGACTGCGTATAAAGAAAATATGTACAAAATGTTTTACAGATGGCACATGTCTCCTGAAAGATTAGCTAAAATGTTTAAGGACAGGTCTATGAAATGTTGGAAATGTCATCAGATACCAGGTTCCTTCTACCATATGTGGTGGACGTGTGTAGAAGCTAAAACTTATTGGAATATAATTAGAACATGGATAGAAAAGATGATACAACAACGTATAGAACTAAGACCAGAAATATTCCTGTTGGATATTCTACCAGAGAAATACAATAAAGAAAAAACATATTTAATTATTCATGTAATTACGGCAGCCAGGATTGTGTTTGCACAAAATTGGAAAGCACTGAAAGCCCCCCCCAGAGGGAGAGGTGATTGGGAAAATACTGGAATGTGCAGAAATGAATAGACTAACAATGACAATTAAAGATAAGACAGAGTCAGACTACTATGAAATCTGGGGAACTTTTTATGATTGGCTGAAAAGAGAATATGGTTAAAAGATAGTTAACATCAATTTAGATGGAAGAAGAAGGAGCAGATAAGGAGGGAGACCCAGGCGACATAGTATTGAATAACTGGAGGTTGTATAAATGTTTATAGAAGTAAAAAAAAAAGTACTTTTCCTTTACTACTAAGAATAATTCATTTCATTTCCTGATCTAATCTACCTTGCAGGACTGACACTGCACTACTTGCAATTAAGAGCGGTTCCCTGGTTCCTTCTTGGAAGCCACACCCTACCAGTGTATATGCGGCCTGTCTTTGCATGGTAGCCACACCTAAGAAGGCCAGGAAAACTTCAGCTGGGCTAGGAACTGACCATGATGATGAATCCAGATCCGAAGGGCGGTGACCCAGCGTGTTGCTAGCTGAGATGTGGATGGGGCAGTGAACTCCAACACCCCAAGGTTCCAAAACTCTCCTTTTTCCCGCTGTATAAAAAAAACTAAAAAGAAAGAAAGAAAGAGCGGGGAAGAGAACATTAGGGTGATTGTTAGAGGATTTATGAGCAGGATCAGATTGAGCGATTGCTTGGGATGTCATGAATCTATTTTGCATGTGAAATTATGCATCTTTATTTACACATGCATGCAAATATCTTGAATAATTGTATTATTATTCAGCTCTCAGATTTATATCTTGCCTTTTCACCAGGAGCTCCAAGTAGCATACAAAGCATTCATCAAATCAAATCAAAACTTTATTACAATCATAGACCAACATATTGAAAAATTGGGCTGCAAAAAGTCCAAAGTCACCAGCAAACGTCAGGTTACATTGGGTCTAATTCTGAATTCCTACTTCCTGAATTTCCTGGTTACGTTTCAGGGAAAGATGATGCTGACTGTATTAGCTAAGTTCATATAACTCTTAAAGACCAAACTAACCAACTACAGTTACTGTGTTCATATAAGACACTGTGTCACCAAAGAGAAACTGTATTATAGCTCAACATGATGACTTGCTTCAACACACTAAAAATAACTGGATTCCCATAACACACTGTACCTTCAACATCCAAGGCTGAGAAACAGATGATAAAAAAAAAAAAAATCTTAATTCAGCCTTGTCCTTGAATCTTTTGCCGCAAAGCCTGTAAACCTAGCTTAGAGTATGTAAACTAGAGAAGTGCAGCTTTGGGTCTGGCCTTCATAGTGTAAACACTATTTGTTGTCTCTCCACTCTTCTCCTGCAGTCAATGAAAGTAATAAGAAACAAGGACCACGACTTATTTAGAAGAATTGTTCTGAACAAAAATGGACTCCCCTGATAGATGAGGTGTCTCAGCACGCAACCAAAGTTGTAGCCCATCAGATTTCATTTTTTTTACTTGATTTTTGTGACCCTCATTATACATAATAATACCCAGCTACCTAGATGCTCTAAACCAGTGGTTCTTAACCTTTTTGAACAAATCGCCCCCTTGAGCCAATGAGGAAGTTGTCATCGCCCCCCTCCTCCAACATAACCTCTCAATCACAACATTGGAAATAATTCTTCAATTGATGCAAACACTTTTTTTGTTTTCTTTAAAATTGTCATCAGGACATATCGATGCAAATAATTTATTTCCAGTCTTTTTCCCATATCTCCCATATTTTGGCCAATGGCGTGCCACTGTATAGGTAGAGGCTGCTGCACAACGCGCATGAAGATAAGTGATGCGTATTCACATATGTACGGCGTTCTGTACTGAAGCTAGCTGGAGGAACATTTGAAAACACAATTCAATCCACTAATAGTGAGCGATCTGATGTTTTTGTACGACAAATATAAAGCAATTCATTGTACAAAAAAGTCCCCAAAATGTCTCGCTCTATCGTCCCCATATCGCTCCCTTTTCATTCCTTCGCTCCCATGTCACCCCTTTTCGTTCCATTGCCCCCCTGAAAAATGAAATCGCCCCCTGGCGGGCAACATTGCCCAGGTTAAGAACCACGCTCTAAACCTGGATCCTTCTGACTCACCTGTGAAAGAGTTTTCATCCCTAGTCGATTCCAAAACCTCCTTTCTGTTACTGGCTACTCCAAGCCTCACAGCAACCATCTCCTGGATGGGAATGCAGAATCCTTCATCTGGAAAGGAGAGAAGAAAGTTGCTTTGCTAATCTTTATATGTGGAATTTCTGTCCTGTCTTTGTGCTTCTTCAACAGCTGTGAGTGTGGGTTCGGTATGTGTATGCAACATTAATACAGTTAAAATCAGAAATAAAATTAAACATTTAAAGCTTGGCAGCAGAAATGATAATAATTCTTAGAAGCCTTGATAAAAACTTGTTTTAGTCTGAGGGCTAAATCCATGTATTTGTCTTTTCTTCCTGATCTGCTTCTACAGTAGAGAGCTTTTCAATAGTACACCACCACTAAAATTGTCACAATCTGTCATTCAACTGCTCACTCTTGAATGCTGGTTGACTGGCAATTCATAGAAAAGGATTACTTGGAGGAGAACCCACTCTGTTCATCAAGAGATAGAGATTAAAAAACATTTGTCAGTAGGAAAGCTAGCATTCGGAGCTCAGGTTTTTCAGCTTTAAGGGGACTTTAAGAAACCCTCAGGGAATTTTTTTATCAAGTTTTTTGCTCATTCCTCTTCCCTGTGCTTACCATTTGCACTCCTAAAAGGAGAAGACAAGATGCTTGGAGATTATTGCTTATTTGCTTTGTCATATATCCAATAAGTTCAGGGAAGGAAAGCTACAGAATGAGGGGGCTCCAGGATCTGGTGATAAGACCATTAGAGAATTGCAGACCTCACCAAGCACCTAACCAAGCTGATCCAAGATCTTCAAAAGTTCAGAAGTATAACTTCTTCCCTTCCCTTATATCCAGAGATTTAATCCCTTTACAGGGGATCCTGAAGAAGCTAAAACCTTAAGAGTTGAAAGCTAGCAATCCTATTAATTACCTCTGTTTGGGTGACAGGAATTTCATAAATGGAATGGAGATTTCTCATAAAACCAGAGCCACTACTACTGGTCCATTCATAACATCACAGAATGATTTATTACTATTTTGAGGGGCCCGATTTCACCTACAGTCCTTCTGCTCTGTATCAAAAGAAAAATTTCCTACACCTCTTCACAATAAAGTGCTCTAAGTCCCAAAGTTTCACAAAATACACATCCTTCTGTCAGAAGAAAAGCTCTTTCTCCCAGCTGAAAGCTGTCAAAACCAAAGGTTATTGTGTATGGAGAGCCTCTTCCCCAAACTCCTCCTTCTCTTCTCTTTTTTTACAACTGATTCCATATTACGGAAAATAAGATAACTGACGATGCCATTTTTAAGAGTTTAAATTCTTCCCTTTCCGGCAGTTGGCCAGGTGAATGAAAATTCTGGTCAGGCCAGTAATATTCTGTTTTTAACTCGTTGCCTATCAGGATTTTCCCAGACCATTAAAACTACTATGGCTTGACCCAGAGGGGCTTCAACCTGAAAAACCCGTTCTGGGATCCAAATGTGTTTGCTGGAGGGAAACTGCTGTGATGGAAACTGTAAAGTATGTTTTACGTCTGCTTTGTGAAATCCAACCCCATCCTCAGTTGGTAAAAAACCTTGAAACTCATCTCTTCCATCTCCTCTCTTTCCCCTCTGCACCTGGCACTGATGTCAGTCTCAGGGGAAGTACTTGCAAACACAACAAGCTTTGAGTTAACTTGGGCCCAAGCCAGGAAACCTTGGGTGAAGGTGGTTCCTCTTAACAATACTTTTGTCATTATTTTCTGCAAAAAGACTGAGCAAAGGACAAAAAGCAGGAGTTAGAAGCCTCTTGGCCCTCATAGCCAAGATGAGGTTAGAGAAGAGTTGTGGTAACCACTAACATGGCATTTTTTAAATAAAAGTATGAGCAAAGGGCTGTGGATACGGAACTAACAAAATGGCTCCAACAAAAGTGTTCCAAATACAGAGCTGAGCACTTACAATTCCATTAGAACACAAAAATGAGTTTATGGCTTTAATCCATAACATGTTGTTTTATTGATTAAGTGCCATCCAATGCCAGGTAAAACATAAACAGAGAACAGGGATTATCCTTAGTCAAGCTAGGTGTTAGCTTTGTCTTCCTCAAAATGCAACTTTGCCTTAGACTTGGCTTGAATAACCGAATAACAGAACTGGAAGGGTTAGGAGACTGGACAGACAAATGGCTGTCCAGTGTTTTCTTAAAAGCCTCCAGTGATGGAGCACCCACGGTTTCTGAAGGCAAGCCATTCCACTGGTTGATTGTTCCCACTGTTAGGAAATTTCATCTTAGTTTTAGGTTGCTTCTCTCCTTGATTAGTCCACTGTCTCTTTTTCTTGCTTTCTGGTGCTTTGGAAAATAGGTTGACCCTCCCTTCTTTGTGGCAGCCCTTCAAACCCCTTTTTACTTCAGAGGTGTTGTACATCTCATTTACCACTATTTTCCTCCATCTTGTTATGGAAGTGGTGTTTCCTCTGTCACTATCTGTTACTCTAACACCACTACTGGCAGACATATAATTTGCTGACTACAGACTGAGGCATCTGAGAGAAGAATGGTGAAGTCTTTTTTATAGTTGTGATCTATGGAGACCCTCACAGAACTGGTAGGACGCTTTAAAGAGGGACAGTGCTGAAGCTCAGGAGGGAGGATAAATAAACCAATAAATTTGGTACTGCAAAGTTTGAGGCTATTTAGAGAAAATAGATAGAGCACCCTTAAATGATTCTTACCTAAGAATGAGCATTAATTACTGCATGGTACAAATTCAAATACAAATTGCAAATGTCCTAAAAATAATTTTTTATTCCCAGCAAGGAGCAAACCACTTCCTTCTTCAAGGTAAATAAAATTTGAACTTTCCTTAAAGAGGTATTACCTACTCTAACCATATCCCATTTTTCTAAGTCAGAATCAATCTTTTCTTTGTCTACCTTTTTTTTCATTTGAAATTGGCAAATTCAGGAAATGAAAACCCCTTGGATTTCTGGAATGAGCTTTATTGCTATTAGGATAATGTAATAAAATATTGAAAGCATCCTAAAGCAATTCTCCAGATCAACTTGTACCTAGCATGCTTAAAGTGGAATTACCCTGAGTTTCTTTTTCATATTTCCCCCCTCTAATGAACTATGGTTTCTTTCTTTAATGGTCCAGTTCTCTACTGTCTTGCTCCATCTTCTGTGTTCTCAGAATATGTTAGACATTCCATCTAGTTTGAAGACACAATTATTCAAATAAAGAATTCTCCAGAATACCATAAAAGAATCAAATATCACAATTCAAATACAAGGTTATGAGAACTAGAAATTAAATAGCCAGGCTTGACAATAATACTAGTGCAAAAGCAGTTGAAGTAGTAATTGACTACAAATAACATACAAGTCCTCAGCATTACATGGTTGCAAAAAAGATGATCAAAGTTTTAGGCTGCATCAATAGAAGTGTAGTTTTTGAATCACGCAAATTTTACTTTATTCTGTGATTTAGTCAACCCATTTTTGAGTACTGTGTCCAGTTCTGGGCAGCAGGACTAGAACCTTAGAGAGCAATGAGGATGATTTGGAAAGAGTTGGGAATGTTTCATTTAAGCACTCTTCAAGGTATATCATTGTTCCTCCATGGTTCCATGATGCAGCACACAAAATAATGAATGTACGATACAGGAAGAAAACCTAGTCACCATCTGTTTTGTATGCTTTAATTTAGATAGGGCATCTCTCTCTCTCTCTCTCTCTCTGTGTGTGTGTGTGTACATGATTAATCTAAAAGGTGCCTCTTAATTCTCTGACACTAATATTCATATAAAGGATATTATATCAACCATGATCTTTGTTCTTTCTATTGCTTAGCATTTAAAAATTATACAAATGAATGGAAAAGTGAAATTCATATGTTTCAAGTACCACATGTTGAAATTTCCAAAAACTCTCTGTAATAATTAAACATCTCCAGATAAAATTAGACGATAATGTAGCATTGCATTTTTTCATTCTTGAGTTCAGGTTAACTTCAGTCCTGCCTTATTCAGGTCTTTTGATGCTAAGCAAAAATCTTCATCAATTTAATATTGTGTTCAGCTTAAAGGTGTTGAAAGAAAAATCATCAGGATCCAGTCCAAGCCAGGAATAAACAAAATAGAGGCTGTTTGGAAAGAAGGTTCTTTATTGAGTTGCCAGAAACTTCAGTGACAGCAGCCTGTTTCTGGGGCGGCTGACCACATGGAGCAGGGAGTGGTGGGTTTTTATACCTTCTTGGGCTTTTGTATTTGGAGTTGTTCCTGTTCCTGTGGCATGAACTTTGACCTGAGCCTCAGTGTGCCCTTTTGGTATTCTGATGGTAATGGGTTAATCCAATTATGTCCTAAAGGTCATGTCCTGCTTTCCTGGGGCTGTAGTTGATGGCTATGTCCTGTGTTGGATGTTTGGATGAGGGGCTGTTGATTCTAATCCTATCACTCTGCTATTGTTAGCTATCAGTTTTGCTGCAAGGGATTTCAAAATATTTTATTTTGAATGGACTTCTGCCTGTATTTGCCCATGAATGGGGCCTCAGTCTTTCTGAATGGGATTATCAAATCTGCATTTCTATAGAGCTGGTCTGCTTAGTTCCTGTTTGGGGCTATTAAGAAAAACTGGGCCTGCTTTTCTGCCTTTAAGATCCTTTGGGGAAATATAATATTCTGCCTTTTTTAATATCCCCCAAAATATTTCCTTCTCTAGAACAGGGCTTTTCAACCAGTGGTACGGGTACCACCTGTGGTACATTGGCACCTGGCAGGTGGTACACGACCATCCTAGAAAAGTGGTAGCAGGGGAGCGGAATGAGCTGAACCAGTGGCAGCATCGCACAAGCCTGAGCGAGAGATGGCTGGAGCTGCAGGGCTGTCAGGGCTCAGCGGAAGCACCAGGATCAGTGCCAGGCTCCAGCTGGAGCTTGGTGCTGATCTTGGTGCTTCTGCTGAGCCCTGAAGAAGCACCAATCAGCTGGAAAGCAGCACTGATCCTGGCGCTTCTGCTGAGCCCAGAAGAAGCGCCCATCAGCTGGAATGTTGCAGCATCTCCAGGGTCTTGTGATTTACATTCAGATGCTTGGCAATTAATTCATATTTATGATGGTCACAATGTCCCAGGGTCATGTGAAGTGACCAAAACCTGCTGCAACCACCCAGCAGACATGGGGAATAAAAACCAAATACCCCCCCACCCCACATCCGCTATCAATCCTCAACAGAAATGCTCACATCAGTGAAAACCTCGGACAGGAAGAAGAGCTCCGCTGGGCAAGCAGGCAGGTGTCTTGCTCGGCTGTGGCTTGGGGGCACTTTTTTCAGTGCCATTGTAACTTCGAACAGTCATTAAGTGAACTGTTGTAAGTTGAGGACTACCTGTACTTTATCACTTTTTTCCTTTTTTTTTTTTGGTCATCAAGTTTTTGACACCTTGCTAGGCGACTGGTGGTACTCGGATATTGCCATATCCTAAAGGTGGTACAATGGGTGAAAAGGTTGAAAAGCCCTGCTTTAGAAGGTGACTTCCAACAAAGGAAATTCTAATTTCTTACTGGAGGCCAGGAGGCAATTATACTGAAAAGATTTGGCTGTTTTTCATTAGATCTGCTAAATTATCTTTGTTTATTATTGAAGACTACACTTTTTACTCCAGAAGTGGAGAAATACTAATGCCAGGAGGCTGGGATGACCTTTAGCACTGGCCAATCTGTAATAATCTGGAGCGGCAACTTTTGCAGAGACTCATTTCCATTCTTCCTTATTATATGAGAACAAGGCTGCCCCAAAGGTACAAAAAAGGGGGAAAGAAAAAGGTCTCCAAACCAGGCCACCCTCTCATGTTCCATGGATATGAAGGCATCTGAAATCTTCAAATATACTACATAAAATCCTAAATATTATCATTCCTATTTTCCTCTGAAATTTTAGCACACTAAAAAGAACCACAGAGAGGCATCTAGTGAATTGGGGGGGAAAGCAGAGAGCAACACACATAGATGGCTCAACCAGACTTACTCCTCTATAAAATGTAAGCTGGGGCAGAGTCTTTCCTCTGGGGCCTCACTGAAATGAAATTACACCTTGCTGAGCCTTATAAGCTCAGACAGACTTGCTTTCCCAGAGGCACTCATTCACAGATAGTGCTAAGAGAGGATGTTGTTGATCAGACCAAAGTCTACTCTTAATGGTAGTTTACTGTTAGTCAAAGGCTCAAGCAACTCAGCACACACATTCCCCCACCCCTTTGAGTTCACACTCCCTCAGTGTTCTGCCAAGATAATCATTACCTGCAGGAAGGAAACTATTTTAGAGCTGAGTGGATATTTTTACCTTGTTTATCTGCTAAGTTAGGAAAAATATTAACCAAGACCGAGCATTTCAGGGTACAATCATTAGCTGGGTACAGATAAAACAATTAACAACGCCAATGAGTATTCATAGTTCAAGCTGCTCCCTCCTCTTAGTCATGGGGCCTGTTTTTGTCCAGATGCTAGAAGGAAACAGGTTGAAATGGGTTGAGTACCAGTTTCTCCTTACAATGACAAAGAGGCTGAAGGGATGTTAGTATGGTTATGATTTTAGTATGTTTAAGTTTGAAATTAGCAGCTATTTTATATATATATAGCAGTGTTTCCCAAACTTGACAATTTTAAGGCATGAGGACTTCAACTCCCAGAATTCCACAGCCAGCAACACTGGCTGTGGAATTCTGGGAGTTGAAGTCCACATGCCTTAAAATTGTCAAGTTTGGGAAACACTGATATATAGTAACCATTTTATACTGATACTTGTAGTGTTATAATGTAATCATTGTTTTGTTAATGACAATTAAAAACAAGGAGGTCCAAAGCAGATCTTCAGTTTGAGGGAGTTTGCCCCAACTTTGTTTCTACCAGATGTTTGGATTACAATTCAATTAATTCCCACCCATACTAAGAATTAACATCTTGGTAGAACATAATGGGATACTCTACATTTTATTTGTCAATGCTCAAAGTGAGTAGGAAAACGCTCTAATATTTTCTAATTCACATGCTGGTAGAAGAAAAAAAAATCTGCCTTCAGAAAAAGTTGATTTTCTAAATCCTGAAGGACATCTTTACCATTTAAAGCTTCAGTCCAACTCCTAGGAAATGCCACACTATTTGGCCTGGTTTATTTATTTACTTTTTTACCAAATGCACCAATAAAAATATCCACTAGTCTCATTGTTATAAAGAGAGAACTACTGATTTATTTCTGCGTTGTATTAGGTCAGGAGTCTATGTGCTGTGCTTACAGCAAGATAATAATTGGAACTAAGGGCCTTCATATCTTCAGAGATAGAGGAATTATACCATTATTTTTTTCTCCCTGAATGCTAGGTGTCATTAAGGCCAAGTATTGATTAATGTTTTTGATGAAATAGGCAAATGGCCTAATTTTAAATGTTTCCTTTATTGCTTTTAATCTGAGTACTGCATCAATTTTAGTTGGTTGTAACAAGGCTTTGCCTGACTCTAGATGTTAGATTCTAATATTTTCTTTATAATAGCTATAGATGCTTCTTCAAGTAGCATATAAAGCTGTAATATTGGATTTCTAATATTTTCTTCCTGTAAGCTTTTTCCTATCATGTTAACTTCCAAGAAAACTACTTCCATACTGCAGATAATTTCAGATGCATTCATCTCCCAAAGGTCTGCTGGATCTCACTATTGCGCATCTGGGTATGGCCCAAAAAAAAAAAATAAAAAAAAAAAATCAAGATTGCAGCTGCAATGGTGCAATTAAAGCTTTGCTTATTTTTTATGTGCATTGCATATGCAACACATTTTAAAAAGAGGCAGAATTTCGATTGTACTCTTGCAACTGTCATCGTCACTTTTTTTTACGACACCTGCTAACACCCCTGCCTGCGGCCTTTGCAAGTGAATCATACAGCACAACCAAGTCTTCCTGAAATCTTTCTCTTGCATGGGGTAATCATTGTCTGCTGTAGTATGCAAGCTTGCCTGTCATTAATAGGCTATTTTTTGTGAAACCCATAGCAGAACAAGTGCTAAAATTCATTGGAAAAAAAGCACAATTGGTACCCACAGCAGCTGAATAAACTGACTGGAGCTATTATATAATTTACAAATAAAGGCCATATTAAAAAGGATGGCTCATATGCTGCTTAAGGCCAAGGCATAGAAGAAAGGGATTATACTTCCAAAAAACACTACCTGCAAGTATCTCCAAGATCAGTCCCTCAGTCTTCCAGTTAAGCACATTTTAAGTAGCATGGAAGCCTTGGAGAGTCATTCACATTCAGAGTAGTCAGCATGACATGAATACAGAATGAGTTCTGTATTGTTCCCTCACAGGTTAAGGACATTGGAAAGAACTGTAGTGATATCCAATCCATTTTCCTATGCCCCCTTGGGACTAAGTCTGCCGTTCCCATGCGTTTGGATACATAGAGAGGGGGATGGTTTTGTTAGTCTGGACAGGACATCTTATCCAGGAAAGTCATCTAGAACAGTATGTTATAAGGGAGAAGGAGATATTATGAAGTTCAAAACCCAGCTGATCAGAAGATAGCCATCTCATGCTCAGAATGCAACTCCTACAGTCCCATGCTTTGGCCAACAATGAAGTTTGATGCACAAAACATCTGGCATTTATTCTCATTGGCTGGCATACCTAACCCCCAAACCCAAGGTGCATTGATGGGTCCACCGAGCAGCAAAGAATCACAAATATCAGAATTCTGGAGCACCCTTGATGGGATTGTGGGTTAGGATGGTAAATAGAGGCCCCAGATAATTTCAACTCTATATATGACTAGTATAGCTTTGCTAAACCAGAAAATACAGCCACTCTTTCTACTTTCCCTCCAAAGTGCCCTTCAGCTATGTTGCTTTTTAACACCCCCAGAGTGGAGACACTTGCTGAAGTACAACCCCCCCCCCCAGCCAAAACGGGATGGGAACTGTAGTTCAGTATCTCTGAAGATGCCGGGTGGGGGAAGGCTGACTCCTTCAGAAGGTGCAGGAAAGAAGGAAAGCGAGAACAAATTCACAAAGGAAAAGGCACCTTCCAAAGGCTCCTAATTGGGATTGGGTTGAGATCCGTGTTCCCCTTAATCCAAGACCCGATAGGAGCGCATCGGCAGCAGCCCTCATTCCCTGGGCCGTCTTCCCATCCACCATTAAAAGATCAGGGCTATCTCGGAGGCGCACGCACCACCCAACTTCCCCCGATTCGGGATGGGAGAAAAGAGCGGAGAAACTCACCGCTCCCTTGGTTTACGAACTCCGGAGTGCCCAGCAGGAATTCGCCGCCCGGCGGTAACGACACCAAAACCCGGCCACGCGGAGTGCGCAGCGGGCAGCGTAGAAAAGTTTCTCCCATGGCCGGGACTGCGAAAGGACGGTGGCCGGATCGGAGGGTCGCGCTCCGTAAAACCGACTGCAGAGGTGGATCTTTGTTCTCTCCCACCTCATTCGCGCCGAGAGCCTTTATTTCCCTCAGGTTTAGTTCTCCGCCTCCCCAAGGCGGAGAAACCCCCAGAAACCCGCCCCGCTTGTACCCGGTGTCGGCGATCTTCTTTCTCCCCGCCCTCGCCCTGCTGCACTGTGCCCCGAGGTGAGTCTGCCTAATGTTCCCCTACCCTGGCTCCTTCTTCGGCAAGAAAGATGAATGGCCTAATTCAGGGCTTTTCAACCTTTTCACTCATTGTACCACTTTTAGGATATGGCAACATCCCAGTCGCCTAGCAAGGTGTCAAAAACTTGATGACCAAAAAAAAAAAAAAAAGGAAAAAAGTGATAAAGTGCAGGTAGTCTTCGAGTTACAAAAGTTCGCTTAGTGACTGTTTGAAGTTACAATAGCACTGAAAAAAGTGCCCCCAAGCCACAGCCGAGCAAGACACCTGCCTGCCCACCTGGCGGCGCTCTTCCTCCTGTCCGAGGTTTTCATTGTTGTGAGCATTTCTGTTGAGGATTGGCAACGGGGGTGGGGTGGAGGGGTGTTTGGTTTTTATTCCCCCCATCTGCTGGGTGGTTGCAGCAGGTTTTGGTCACTTCATATGACCCTGGGACACCGTCATAAATATGAATCAGTTGCCAAGCATCTGAATGTAAATCACAAGACCCTGGAGATGCTGCAACATTCCAGCTGATCGGCTCTTCTTCTGGGCTCAGCAGAAGCACCAGGATCAGTGCTGCTTTCCAGCTGATTGGTGCTTTTTCAGGGTTCAGCAGAAGCGCCAGGATCAGCACCGAGCTCCAGCTGGAGCCTGACACTGATCCTGACGCTTTCACTGAGCCCTGACAGCCCTGCAGCTCTAGCCATCTCTCGCTCAGGCTTGTGCAGTGCTGCCACCGGTTCAGTTCATTCCCCTCCCCCACTACCACTTTTCTATACCAACTGCCAGGTGCCAATGTACTACAGGTGGTACCCATACCACTGGTTGAAAAGCCCTGGCCTAATTTATTACAAATGTTTCCCACAAATGTTCAGTTGTGGACTTGTCCTGGTGTTGTAAACTCAGAAAGAGAGAAATTGAGGTTGCAGCAAAACTGTTGGGGGACAGAGGACTTTCCTTTAGAGGAAGAGCATCCCAAAGATAACCTTTGCCTCATTAGATTCTCCAGGTTGGCCACTGTCAGTTTTTATTTGCCTGGCCCATCATAGGATTCATTTCCACGTATGTGTGCAAAGAATTTTTGCCTTGGGGTTTTAATTACACAAATTTCATTGAAGAAATAAGTTGAGCTTGAGAGTAGGTGCCTTTTGAGAAGGAAGAACAAGGGGAGGAGTACGATGTTGTCATACACATTTCCTAGTTGGGATACACAAGGTCCTCTTAATTAGGGGGACTTGAGCTTTTGCTCAAGCAGCTGATCTCTTAGTGTTGCTGGGTGCTGGAAAGCTATAGGTCTATTGTAGCTTAGCAGCATTTGGCAGTCTATAATAGTGTCACCTCTATTTTTAAGAAGATATATATAGGGAAATGAACCATTTCATTCTGTTCTGTTCACAGAACTTTGGACTTCCTGAAATAACTTTCAAACATTTTTATGCATTTTGGAAAAGAATCTTTTAATCTCTCTAAACCTTTTGATGTGTCTGCCCACCTTACATAGATGTTCCATAGGCCTACCCTATTAGAGATCAGTCGGGCTGGACCCAGAGAATGGAATTCTTGGCACTTAGCCTCCTCAGTCCAAAACAGCTGGTCTCTTGGGATTCAGTGGTGCCTTTCATTTTATCCTTCAAGAAACTGGTGAGAGCATTCTTCTTCCCAAAGAATAATTTAATTAAGAAATTAACCGATTCTGTTTTCAAAGTAGATTGTTTTTATGAATGTTTTTAGTTTAGTACAGTATATTTTAACCATTGTAACCAACCTGGTATTGCACCAGCAGGAAGCATTCAAAGTTGATAATAAATCTAAATAAATAAACCAATCAACCAGATAATGCTCAGATGGCTTGAATAATCTCTCTTTTGTAAAATGATCTTTTTGTTGCTCTGACCAAGGAAATTAGATATATAGGGCCGATATATCTCCTATAAATAAGACCTGATAACAAGTCAATATCCCTGGACAAATGGTAGATTCACGCTAGATTAAGTTTGGATTGAAGGCAAGTAGCAAAACAAGTGAGGTGGGGGAAATGGGAAGAAAAGAAGCTTGATGTCACTGTTTGTCCCTGACACTCTGACCTTTTGCAAAATTGGACCTGAAGGGACTGAAGCTGAGCCAGAGATAAGAATGGCAGGGTTTCCTCAGATTAATATTTCTAGACCAAATGGACACCCTGGGCCAACTATATTCTGTCTATGCCCCCAAAGTGGTCAGCCAAAAGAGAACAACAAACAAAGTGGACTGCCTATTATACAGTTGTAGCGTTACCTACTCAGAGGCCGCCAAGCTCAGGCCCTCCCAGCCCTGCTCCCCTCCGTCGCGCTCTGCAGCTACACTCTCAAGGTGTTAGTGAAGTGTCTTTTCTAGCAGAGGCTCACAAGAAGTGGGGAGGTGGCAGACTCTCGTCGTCAAAGGGAGGGGGCCTTTCAGGAACAAAGATGACCAGCTCCTAATCCCAATAGTCAATGCGTCACAGTGTTTAACAGCCCCAAGCAGTCATAGCAGCAATAGTCAATGACCTCACAGTGACCGTTTGGAAACAAGTGGGGTGGGGAAAACCCTGGCTCCAGGCAGCGATAGGAATACCAACGAAGGTAGTCAGCGTTCTGCAGTAACAGCTCGCCCCACCAGGGCAACTCCCCACAATATCTATAACTTGCATAAGTAACAATAATCAAAGTTTGGATGGTCGCTAGTCTCCAAAGTAGTAACAACCGGCCTATCCTTCTCTTCTGTCATCGCTCGCAGTCTCAGGTCTTGTCGGTGTCAAAACCCCTCCCCCCCTTTCCTTTATTGTTAAAATCTGAATTTAGCAACCCCAGCAACTTTCTCTCTCCTCACTCTCTCGCTTGCTTCCGATCAGGATATCCCCCTACGAAAGAAAGCAGTAAAATTCCACTTTCTCACTCTCTCTCACTCTCTCCTTCCCTCTCCTTCACAGAAAGGGATCAGCTAAAACCTCAAATTCCTCTTTTACTTCACCTGGTCTCTCTCCGACAACAGCCACAACAACCCCCCCCCAACCCCTTTCTTTCCTCCTTTTTCTTTCCTTCTGCCCAATCCATGCCCACCATGCCCATAACCGGCAGCAGCTGTCCGAGCTTCCCTCTGCCCGGGCAAGCTCCTGCAAAGCCTTTCAGCCAGCCCCGCTACACAGTAATAATAGATAGAATCAAATCTCTTATTATGATCATAGACCAGCATAAGTAGTAATAGAAAGGGATAATTGAAGTTACAATGTGCTTCTTCTTGGTGGATCAAATATGCTTTTCATGGGAACCAAACTCCCAAAAGGCATCATGGCTTCAATGGAAGTCTAAGAATATTTTGTGAGTCTCTCTGTGTGAGCCAAACAATTCCTGGTGTAAAAGGAAAAGCAAAAATGGTTGCAAAGGTAAAATAACAGGAAAGCCCATCGTATCTTCTCATCACTGGAAAATCATTTCCTAATGCCTTCAAGCACTTTCACTGAGAGTAAGGCTTTTGGATGCTTCTCATATTTGTTCAATGCTTTCCTGCCCCTCCCACATAGTCTAGGTTGTCCTTGACAAAGTCTAATATTTTTCCTCTATTTCCATACAATGGAGCCATCTCTATTAACAACAACTGGTCAGGACAGGTATATTACAGTGCATAGAAGAAAAAGAGACAAAAGCTGGGAGATGTTGTTATCTCTTTCAATTGCTGTGTCCTCTTCAAAATCACGATTCACAATTATTCCTAGTTCATACATAATTCATCTTATAATACTCTATATATTAATAATACTATTCAGGTATTCTTATATTCCATATATACTATTCTTATATTCTTATATTCCACTTGAATTGAAAAAGAATCCCAGAAACAAAAAATTGGGAGGAGCCATGAGGCGACTGAACCCAGCCTCCTCTTCCTCCTCCTCAGTGAAGTTCATATTAAAGCTTCTCAGACATTCAGATTCCCACTTTTTCAGTAACTGGTTCCATTGTCAAATTGCTCTTATTGTTGAGATTTTTTTTTTCTCACATTCAATCGGAATTTGATTTTCTAAAACTTTTATACATTGTTCTGTATCCTACACTTTGGAAGAAGAGAAAACAGGTCTACACTGTCTCTGTGGCATCTTTTCAACAATTTGAAGAGTGTAACCAATCATTTTTCTTCAAGACTAAACATGCCAGTTCCTTCAGTCTTTCTTCACAGTTTCCAGTCCTTTATCTTCATTGCCATTCCTGAAAACTGTTCCAGTTTTTCAGAATCCTTCAAGTGCAGTATTTAAAACAGAATACAATACTGTAGATGCATTCAAGGCAGAAAATAGAACAATTATGTCCTGTTATTTGGAAATATTATTCTATTCAGGCAGTTAAAAATTGCACTTGGAGCCACATTATATTGCTGGGTCTAAATTTTCCGGCTGCAAGGACCGGCAGCAGTGGCGGGGGGGAGGGGATGGTTTTGTGTATGCAACCTAGATGCCACTCATACACAAATGAAGTTTTGTGTGCTCTCCCACCACTTGCATGGCCCAGTTCCCAATGAGCCATGGACTAATATCAGTCTGCAGCCCAGGGGCTTGGGGACTCCTGGTCTAAATCACTTTGCAATCAACTATCTTTTCCCCCCCTCTCAAATACTATTACAAAACCAAGTGTTTTCCCATACTATATAAGTGCATTTGATTTTGGTGAAGAACTCTGCACTGGCTTCTGTTAAATTACTTTCAGCCCATTTCTCCAACCCATCATAATGTTTCTATTCCTGTCTTGTAGGACATCAGCCATTCCATCCAACTTTATCTGCAAATTTGATAAGTTTTCCCTTTTCTCCCTTCACCCAAACAATTAAGAGAATTGGAAGGGACCTTGGAGGTCTTCTAGTCCAACCCCCTGCTCAAGCAGGAGACCCTATAACATTTCAGACAAATGGCTGCCCAGTCTCTTCTTAAAAGCTACCAGTTTTGGAGCACCCGCAACTTCTTCATGAAGGCAATTGTTCCACTGGTTAATTGTTTTCACTGTTAGGAATTTTCTCCTTAGTTCTAGGTTGCTTTTCTCCTTGATTAGTTTCCATCCATTGTTTCTTCTCTTGCCTTCTGGTGTTTTGGAAAAATGGATTGACCCCCTCTTCTTTGTGGCAACCCCT